TTCCAATGTTATGAGCCGAATGTAATGTTACAGTGTCGACCGGTCAGAAATTAATAGCTTGTTGCGTGACACTGGGAGAGCGGTAAAATTCACCATCAATTCTGCAGGCTGTCCCCAAGTTTAATTACCGTTGCAATGCTGACTGGGATTTTCATTATAGCAAGTTGAAGAAGGTTCAAAGTAGATTTGCAAACGTTCACTTCCCTCCCCCGGCAACATTTTATCAGGTGCTTGAAATGCTGGAATAATTATATATCAAGCTGAATAAATAATTGATTCTATAATAGCCCCTTTCTTGTCCTCTTGTGAGACCCGACCTGAATTTTCTACCTCCCTCACTCTGGACTCACCTGCTTTAAATCAATTCAGGTTATTTGGATGGTGCTCACAAGCAGATAGGTGAACCGACTGCAGGGTGATGCTAGGAAATGTAAGGTTTTTTTTTTTTACCTTCTAAAAAAATTATACAGTATATCAAATAAAATATAAATTATTTGTTGTGTTATTATTAGTGCTGTCAAATGATTAATCGTGATTAATCGCATCCAAAATAAAAGTTTTTTTAACATAATATATAAGTGTACTGTTTATATTTATTATGTAGGCTATATATAAATACACATGCATGTATATATTTAAGAAAAATGTTTATATATAATATAAATTATATGAATATAAATATATACATGTAAATATTTTCAAAATATATATTGTATGTGTGTGTGTGTGTGTATATATATATATATACATATATATATACATAATAAATATACAAAGTACACACACATACAGTATATTATGTAAACACATTTTTTTATTTTGGACGCGATTAATCGTTTGACAACACTAGTTATTATATATCATTTTGTTTATTTTTATGCTATTTTGAATTTTTATTTATATACTTACGTTGCGTTTGCTATGGTTTCCTTTATTCATAGTTGTTGTTTTTTTAATTTATGTGAGGCACTTTGTGTGAGTAAAGCGTAATTTTACTACTACTGCTGCTACTAATTATTAGTATTATTTTAAAATATTTAGAAGTATTTCATAGTATTTTAAAGTATTTTAACGTCCAATAAAGTTTCACTAACACTGTAAGAGCGTCCATCTGGCCACATCATTGTCAGTGGTTGTTTTCCTTAATGGTAAATGCGAGGCAAATTTTGGTGTGCGTGTACACTTACGCATTTGCCATTACATCTTGTGTTTTGTTGGCTGTGTGTGAGGCAGAGCTCTCTAGTGCAGGTATCTAGAGAGTGGATGGAAGAGAAAAGTCCACATTGAATTAGCTTCCATCACTGAGCTCTAATGCTGTATAATGGCTGCAGACATCTCATGGGTAATAGCTCAGGGATTACAGAGAAGGCATATTGCTCTTAGTGACACCACTAACCTTATTAGAGAGAGAGGGAGCGAGAACGAGAGAGTTCGATGTGAATTTGCAGTGACTAGAGCCTGAAGAGATGTATTATTATAATAGAAAGTACCTGATTCAAATAACAGTTATTTACTGTATCTTGTGTACATGATGACAGCCACATGTTTTTCCCAGTCTGACATTTCACACATGAAACGCTCAAATAAATATTTACCTAATGAATCAGGCTTTTATTAGTGCATCGAGGTGCCATGCAAGCTGCATAGCTTAAATGAAAGCCTTTTTGCGTTAATTTTTATTCATTTTCTACAGAATGGGAATATTAGACTGCAGTGTATCTGACCTCTTTGTTCATACATCTGCAGCACACACTTATTTACTTCTCTTGAGCTTGAGGTAGGTGTCTTTTGTATGGATAACACAGCTAGATAGATACAATCTGGCTATTTGTCTGTGTCTTTTCAAATAGCCACTTTCAAGTAAGAAAACAAGCTGAGATGTTTGCAAGTGGTCGTGATATATTTTTTTAAAAAGTGGGTTTCTTTTGAAATGCATTGGTGCATGTTTGAAAGAACATGTAGTGTTGTACATGTAAGTGCATCTGAGTTAAATAGAGAGTGCGGGAAAGAGATAAATGGCACAAACTCATTGAAAGCAAGATTGTAGTCTTTGAAAATGACATTGGCAGCTGGTTTAACCGTCTGTCCATCTGAATGAGACGATTTGTTCCCTGCCTGGGATTACTTATGGGTTAGGAGGACACTCTGAGCTTTTCAGGATGACTTTTTTCTGAGACTTGGCTGTGTTGAAAGTCGTCCACAAGTGTGAAATGGTTTAATTTACTCTTTTGTTAATTGCTTTGGTGGATCTCGAACTGAGCCATGCGAGGGGTTACTGAATAGCCAGTACTAATCTAAAACTCCATTAACTCATGCCGGGGGAGGATTTCTGATTACACAAGGGAGAAATCAAATAAAGCCCTTTTTTCCTGTTAACGTATTGCTTTTCATCAACCACATTAATGTTTTGTTTTTCCAACACTTCCACCATATACCTCGGAAATTAAAATAGTGGAAAATATGTATTTTTTCATTCTCTAAGGAGTGAGTGCTGAGTGGTGCGTGCCAGGGTGGTTGCTATAGATTTGCAAAGGTGTTCTGGGTAATTGATAAGTTAAAAGAGCCCAGCCCTAAGCCCCTCATTTGCACAGTCAGTGTGAGTAGCTGTGGTAAAAAAAAGAAAAAAGAAACTGTGGAACATCTTTAAAAAATAAATTCAACATAAATTGTCACACCTCATATCGTTCTTCCATTGGTCATTCATGTGAAACTATTTCACAAGTCTGAATTAAACAGACTTGACTTTTGGAATGCAGCGAAATGCAAAACCTCTCTGCATAAACTGGCCTTACCCACCTTACAGTACCTAAACATAACATCGCCTGGTTTGAGTGTCATGAGGGGCTTTTGCACCGGAGAAACATTTTTGGCGGAAGTACTTCTGTGTACTTCGGTGTGTTCGCACCACAGGAACTAGGAATGTACTTAGTTCTAAGAACTCCGTTTGGGGGAACTAAATTAGCTCCTACTTTGGAGTAGGGTCTAAAACAGTTCTATAGGAACTACCAGTGAAGTGTACACTGATTGGCTAAAAGCATACAAAACACCGGCATTTTAAAAAAGACATGTACAATTTTTACTCCACGAACATGAAAAACAGCAATAACGGCATTTAGCTACCTGTTGTCTGTAGCGTTGTGTTCTTTTCTCAGCCTCGATGGTATGGAACACTGCAAGTTGTCATAGGAGATTTAGTCAGATTTTCTTGCTCTTTCAATCGCGTAAATTGTGCATTCACAATTCAATTTCCGTTATCACGAAACCCACAACACACATCAAAAACAGTTCTGATCATGGCGTCCATGGAGTTGGGAGAGTGTCAGTGAGAAAATGTGTAGGATGCAATGGATGCAACCAAAGACTATAGTAGTGTCTGTATTGATGGTAAATTTGTTGAAATGAATACAATTATTTTTTTAATAATGTATAATAAAATTATATGTTTAATATACAAAATATTTATTATTGTATAATTACCATAGAATATACAGTATAATGATTCAGTTTACATCACCTCCGTAAATTTAATAAAACCTGAAAAAAGCAAAAAAACAGTGGAGTTAAAAAAAAAATCATTGAATTTTATTTAGAAAAGTTAAATCGCCATCTTGTTCCAACCAAAGTGATTTAAACACACCTGACGTCCCAGGAGGACTTGAACACAGCATGAGTTCCTATAGAGTTACATGGTACGAAAGCCCCTATGACATCATTCATTTCTCTACCACCAATTGGTAGTTTTTGTTTTCATGTGTTTTTGTTTTTCCCCTTGCCTTCATTCTGTATGGAAGAATATTCAGGACTTTTTTCAAAAGGAATTGCAAATTGTATTTTTGTGTTTTCGCTCACACAGGCACGAACTGATTGGCAGCTGCCTTTAGCGGAGCCTTTACCGATTACCTCTATTGATCAAAGCATTCGGCACGGTCGTCTGAGAGTGACTTCACCTCCCAACAGAGGCGGACAGTAACTAAGTACATTTACTTGAGTATTGTACTTAAGTACACTTTTTGAGTATCTGTTGGACATTCAAATGCAAAGTTTTGGCAGGTTACATGCATGACGCAGAGAGAGTGAAAAAGCAAATGTGGTAATTAATATTGCTATTTATGTAAAACAGGCTCATAGCTGGTAAAACATGGGAAATACAGTTGCAAATGGACTTTGCTTTTTCATTTGAAATGTGGCAGTCACTGTGTTCGCAAAAGCGAAAATGCAAACGGTAATGCAGGATTTGCAATTGCATTTGGATTATTTCACAATTTATGCGCCCACATGTGGAAAATGCAAATGAAAATACAATTTGCAATTCCTTTTGAAAAAAGTCCTGAATATTCTTCCATAATTCTGCATGTATGGAAGATTTAAAACTACATTGCAGCAAAGTAACTTTTTTTTAATATTCAGGTGCTGATAAATAAAATACTCCTCATTAGGGTTTTGACAAAATTGTGATTTTAATTAACCTTATAAATCCCTACTGTTCTTTTACTTATTAGACAAGGCATTAGTTGTGTACCGATGGTTTGGTGAGGCAATAGCGTGTAGATTTTTCCGAGAAGTGTAAACACTGCTAAGGTACAAGCTGTTTAATGCACAAAGACTCTTGCAGGGATGTTTCCTTTCACTGGGTAGAAGATTGCATTTGTGTCATCCATTGATTAGCATCTTGTTTTGGTATCTCTTGTTATACAGCAGCCACGGAAAAAAACCTAGGAACAACAGAGCATGCCAGGACCAAATAAATGAGGGTGTTTCCCTGGATATGTGTTGTAGGAGACAGGGATGCTGCCATTTGGGGAATTGGACAAACAGCCCATGCTTATTGGACTTAAATCGATCGCCATTATTAGCCATTCTTTGCATGAAAACAGAGAAAAGACTCTGACTCTGTGTTTTTTTAAATTCTTATTTAGGAGATGTTTGTTGAAAACTTGAATAGACTTTTAGTTCAGAATTGTAATTCTCTTTTTTCTCTTTCTTTTCTCTCTCCATTGTAGTGAATAAGCACAAACCATGGATCGAGACATCCTACCATGGTGTCATCACCGAAAACATGGACACGGTACTGCTCGACCCCCCTCTGGTCGCATTGGACAAAGATGCCCCTGTCCCTTATGCAGGTATATGACTTCGCTAACTTATTACACATTGCTCTGGAATTCTATATTCTGATTGGTCAATCATGGTATTCAGGCATATGAAGCCGTTGTCTCTGACATCCAGTGTCTTGCACTGTGCTTGTTTCATGACTCTCGTATCCTTTTTTTTTTCTCACGATCAAATCATTGTATCTAGGATCAATGTTTCCATCCAACATTTCCATTTATGTATTGAAGTAGCAATAACCCCTTGCTTTGGGGTTTATTTTGCGATATTGAGCGCCTGACAGTCAATTTTTTCCATTCTATTTAAATCATGTTTTTTTCTATGGCTGCACGATTTTTTTATTGATTTATACATTGTCCAGACTGAAATTGGGTTATATAATAATTGTACTATTATTTGTATACTATTTATATATTTATATAATGGACTGAGTACTATGAACACAGTCCATTGAATATGAATTATTTATGTATAAAATGGAATAATAATTTGTTTGTGTGTGTATATATATATATATATATATATATATATATATAGTGGATCAAAACATTTCATCAAAGTTGTCCTAAAATATAAAACCAAAATGCGTTCTTGTCTTAGGACAACTTTGATGAACTTTTTTGATCCACTTCAAATGTTGACTACTAATATATATATATATTTAATTTAATTTTTTATATATATATATATATATATATATATATATATATATTTATATTTATTTATATTATTATTATTATTATTATTATTAGCCATTTTAAAACAATCCCTTTTGAGATAATGCCTTCAATATGTTCCAATAGAGTACTATGGTTCATTTTGAAGCATGTAGCACATGCAGAATATATATTTTTTATTAAATCACAGATTTTTGCGTGTAATCATGAGTGTGATCATTTTGATTATCTTTGAAGCCTATTTTTTCCATATCTAATCTTTTCCAGTGAAACACACAAGCTTCCTCCAGAACATCCAGGATTATTCTGAAATTTACAGCACTGGATGGCCAACAATGGCTTGGTTCTTCAGTGTAGTGGTTCTTTATTCTTCTGTGTGTATTGCAGCATAGTGATACTATTAAAGAGATTTAGTCAATGCCTTCCGCACTGCTATGGAGATAGATCCGCCTGACCTTCCTGTTATTTCCAAGTGTGCTTCCTGCCTCTATCTCCATTGTTGTGGTGACACACAGACCTTGTATAAGTTGATCTTGTCGCCCTTTCCATGGCCGAACGTTCAATAAACCATCCGGCCTTGATAAACGACTCGTACATTGAGCACTTTGGCTTTCGAAGAGATGGAGTCAACACTTAAAGCGTCAGTCACCTCTCACGGAGCAATGAATGACAACACAGCTTTATGACTTGCGTGTTGTTTATGTAAGACAGATTCCGACTCACTGGTTTTCAAGTGCAAGTTGTTCAGATGAGGTGGCAGGATGTGGGGAGGGTGGTGGCTTGACAGATGCAAAGTAATTAAATAAAGTGATTTTTTTTTACACAAAGAGGAATATGTGGAAGCATTGTGACAGGTAACTCTCTACAGCTCATTAAATGACAATGGCTAGAATTAATCTCCTTTCTGACAGCCTTGGAAAAAAGCACTTTACTGGCTTTTATATATTTATTTTTGCAGCTTTCACTTAAAAAGCATGCTGTGTATGGTGCAGGTGATAAAGATTTGTTTTTCATACCTTGGGGAATCTTTTAGCTGACAGTATGCTTTTTTTACAGCATCACCACTGACTATTGACTGATCATCTTTGCAGTATGTAACTTGTGTGTAAGTTATACAGTACTTTAAAGTATAATTTTTCTAAATGCATATTATTGATCTTACTGTGAATGATTGACTGATTGATTGATTGTTGACCTTGTCAATTTGAATTAAAATGTCAGAACTCAATTTTCCAGTGAAAGTACAGACTTCTTTTTCGTGTGTGTGTGTGTGTGTCATTCACACACCTTCAAAATTCAAATGAAAAAGTATAAAATAACACAAATATATTTTACAATTATTGCAGTGACAAAATTATTTTGACTTTATGATTATGGAATTTTTAGTACTCTTGTATTTTTGGCACTGTACAAATCTTTGCGTCTTTCAAAGCATCACATATGACGATCTCCTAAACTGAACCTAACACAAAAAAACAAGACGCATTGTGATTTTTGTTTTTCATGACTTAATCTAAGGAATATTTCGCTTGCATGTCACCATTTCTGAAGGGGGGAAAAAACTATCTGATAACACTCATGGTTTATTTTCTCAACCACAATAAGTTGTTAGAAGAGACAAAGTTAAAAAGAAATATAAATCTTTTTTAACACTGTCTTGACTGTCAATTTTGATTCCTTTCTTTCAGAATAATGAGAAAAAACTATACAGCTCAGGATCACTTTCTACATAATCCACTTTTTTTTTTTAAACTTTTTTTGAGTCCAGTGCACTTGCTACTTTGATTTGATTTATCAATGACATATTTATGGTGGTCATTTCTGAAGGGGGGAAAAAACTATCTGATAACACTCATGGTTTATTTTCTCAACCACAATAAGTTGTTAGAAGAGACAAAGTTAAAAATAAATATAAATCTTTTTTAACACTGTCTTGACTGTCAATTTTGATTCCTTTCTTTCAGAATAATGAGAAAAAACTATACAGCTCAGGATCACTTTCTACATAATCCACTTTTTTTTTAAACTTTTTTTGAGTCCAGCGCACTTGCTACTTTGATTTGATTTATCAATGACATATTTATGGTGGATGGCAGCTGTTGTTAAAGCGGCACTGGGAAATGAGTGCTGCGCTCTGATTGGGTGACAGGTGATATTTCACTGCCTTTTCACCGGGAGCCAATGGATACAAACGTAAGATTGCTGCCAAGGAGACTCAGAGAAAAACAAGCCCTCCGTCTCAATCCGTCATTCTCCGTAATTCTCCTCGCTCGCATTCTTTCCGTCTTTCTTTCTCCGTCCCACTCTCCTCTTCCACGTCAGGCTGTGAGTTATGCGCAGGAGGCTTTGTCATCAATCCTGTTTTCGTCTGTTTAGAGAAAGGAATGCGGGCGTCCTTTTGGCACCGCATTAATTGGGGTGTGGGAACACGACCCGGGATTGTTAAGTGCTTCGCCTCGTTCTCCTTCGTCTTTTTCTCCTGCCTCGCTCGCTGTCGCCCATGTATCAGCTTGCTTTGATGTAAAATAACGATGATGAGCCTCAAGTCGATGATATATGCTGAGGCAGGGATCCTGAAGATGAATTGTTATTTCTGGGAACAAGACTTTCCCCTGTAGAGCAGATAGCGTAGGTCTTGTAGTATGCATGGAGCATTCTCAATCAAATTACCGTGAAGGATGAGCCGGAGTCAGTAGAGGAAGGCAAAAAAGAAACGGCAGCTTCATTTGCTAATTCTTTATCTCGGTTGCAGCTTCACCAGCCTCTTTCCCATTAATCTCTTCTCTCTGATGATGTACAATGCCGTATTGTTCTGCTAAACTTTGCCTTCCTTGCACCAGATTAGCTAACAAAACCCAAGCTAGGAAGCGGTCCAGGCAAACTATGGATGGATTGCAAAAACCACACATGAGAGTGAGAATAGGAGGATGTAGTGAAAGAGAATCGCAGCGCCTGCAGTTCGGATACTTTGCAATTGTATTGTGTTGCTTTTATAGAAGGACAACCTGCTGTGAATTCAACAAGGAAAATGGCTTTTTTTTGGTGGAACGCTTAGCATGTTTTGTAATTGTGTTTGGACCATTCTGTCTAAAATCAATCGGATACGCTAGTGGATTTTCCTATCAAATTATTATAAATAATGCCTCTCTTCTGTGTTCGAAATTGTAAAATAAATTTGGTAGTATTTTGATCTTGTTAGTGGATGAAGAGAGTGTTCATTATGTGCTGGTCACAATCCTCGCTAAGGTGTAACAGGCTGTCATTTAAAATTAAGGGTGTTGTACATGATGCAAAAAAATCACACATGTATTTTCAGCTTGGCCTGTTTTCTACAACGTCGCTTGCTTAATATGAATAAGAGCTGATTGGAGGGTCATGTATATCATCTTTCTGGAGGTTCATAATAAGCATGGTATGTTATTATAAATGATACAAAGTCCAAAGAAGTCCAAAAAAATAAATGACAGACTATGTAAATGTACTTAGTGCTGATCTACAATTCTACACCCATTCATAAGTAAATAAATAACAATGGAATATGATTCGTTTTTTTATGTGGGCTTTCTAAATGATAAATGTAATTAGTTTCTGTGCTTCATGTTAATTAATCTGAGATATAGATGCTTAGAAGGCGCTTAATAAAGCAGATTAGGGGGTGGTTTAAACAAGCAGTCTGAGGAAAAAAAAGAAAGAAAGGAAAGCTAGCAGAGGAACATTTAACCACATGCGTTTTATATAAATAACCTTGTCGGGTGATCGAATAACTGTCCTCAGATTTGCAGTAATAATAATTCATCTGATGTTTTGCAGATCTCATTAGTTTTTTTGTTCGAAAGTGTTTGATTACCTTTTTTTTCACAAATATGGCTGATTTAACCCTAGTAACTTGACCACCTACATTTTGGACCGTGAAATGGGTCATTTCAACACTGTTCACTCCAGGGTCAGCTGTGGATGAAAGTCTAAGAATTATTGAATTTTGTTATGATGTGTGCGAACGAGAGTGTCACCTACATGAAGTGAATTTACAATGTGCCCTATCTTTGTCCTCCCTTGGAATTACATTCAGTGATCCCTGAGGGTCGGGAAACATACCTGAGGAACTATTTTACTAACTTAGGATTCTCTTACTCATGTAGTTTCATCATAGTTTATACACTTGGGCAGACAATTTCTGAAGTTTCAACTGGAAAAATCACATTCAGACTTTTTGTAGACACTAATCAGTTTAGGAAGTCTTGTATTTTTTTTCCGCAATGCTGTATATGCATTTTCATGATTCTAATTTTTTCCTTAAGGAACCAAACCGAAGCGGCTGAGCCAAGCATGGCTGTTAT